ATATTGGATTCTGCATTAATGGAAGCCCGTATTCCATTGGAGAAAGTTGAACGCATAATTCTCCCTCATAAATAATCTCAAAGCAAAATGTTCGTGCACTAAACGTGAACTTCTATGTCTTTTAGGTCATTTCAACTTTGCTGCACAAGTAATACCAGCAGGAAGATCATTTACATCATATTTACTTGCATTAGCTTACACCGTGTCAGAACTGCACCATCATGTGAATTTGACTGCAGAATGCAGACAAGATTTTGCCATGTGGGAGACATTTCTTAGACAATGGAATGGAAAATCTTTTTTCCTGGAGGAAAATGTGACATGTGCTACTGACATTGCATTATATACAGATGCCTCGTCAAACCATGGATTTGGTGGTTTTTACAGTGGAAAGTGGTTTCAAGGAAGATGGCCAAGTGAAATCAGTGATTTAGGAAATGACCCACTCTCTATGGCATTATTAGAATTATACCCAATTGTTGTAGCTACAGTAATATGGGGTCATGAATGGTCAGGCAAAAGAATCAAATTCTGGTGTGACAATTTAGCTACAATACAAATTATCAAGAAACGTAGATCTAAATCACCAATGATTATGAAATTACTAAGAAAATTAACATGGAAATCAGCTTGTGATAATTTCATTATTCTATGTGATCATGTACCTGGAAAGAGAAACGTATTAGCAGACTCTTTATCTCGTTTTCAGATGACCAAATTCAGGCAGGCAGCTCCACTGGCATCAGCACACCCAGTAGAAATTCCATCTCTCCAGGAGCTTATCCTTTATTAGCAAAACAAGCAGAGGTACTTTGTGAATCGTCTTTAAGTAAAAATACCAAAAGCGCTTACAAAGTAGGATTTAATACATTTTGTCATTTCTTGTCATCGATTGGAATTGCAGCAGATGATTACTGTCCACCTCCTGTGTCTGAACAGATTTTGATATTTTTTGTAACACACTGTTGTAAAGCTCTAAATCTAAGCCACAGTACAATAAAACTGTATCTAGCAGCAATAAGATTTCATTACGTTAAAACCGGAGTGCTTAATCCTTTGTGCACTTCAAATGACAGTTGCCAAAAACTACAGGCTGTGTTAAGAGGCATTCAGAAGCAGAGCAGTCAAAAAAAAAAGACGTCCTATAACTTATGACATTTTATTACAAATGCATAAATTACTACTGCGTGGAATGTTTGACAAATTCATCGATGCAATGCTCATGGCTGCCTTCTCGTTAGCATTCTTTGCGTATCTTAGATGTGGGGAATTTACCGTGCAGAATAATAAAGAAGAGGATATTTTGAATGTTGTAGACATACTTATGGACGATACTATGAGTGCATTCACTTTGGTATTGAAGACCTCCAATACTGATCCATTTCGAAAAGGAATTAACATCAGGATTTTCAAAACTGACAAATTGGTGTGTCCGGTTAAATCTATGATAGAATACTTAAAGTTAAGAAAATCAAGGATCAACGGTAACAGAACTGCAGCTTTATTTGTTGATGAAAGTGGAAACCCATTGACGCGAAATTATTTTATCAACAAACTCAAACAGCTACTTAAAGTGTTAGGATATGATGACAAAAACTTTAATGGACATTCATTTAGGATTGGGGCAGCTACGTCTGCTGCCTCTGGCAAAGTTGATGACCATATGATAAAAACACTCAGTAGATGGAGCTCAGACTGTTACAGCAGATATATTCGTACCGACATGTAACGTTATCACGTGCACAGAAAGCTATGTGTTTTCAATGATGAAATGTGTATGATGTATTCAATGAAGGAAATGTTTATGTTACTGTCATTATAAGGATCTCAAGTAGTTGTTTATGATGAAAATATGTGTCGAGAATTTTGTAAATAATTAGTTGAATGTATCTCATGTGCATTGTTCTTGTACATATCTTTTATGTTGCTCTTGATGTCCATGCATTATTCTGTACTGAGGTTTTAAGTAACAGTTACGAGAATTTGTAGTGATTACTAGTGATGTATCACATGTGCATAGTTCTTGTACGTATTTTTATGTTGTTCTTGATGGATGCATTATTCTGTACTGAGTATTAGTAATATTTTCAACTTTTTTCAAAAAATTTTCAAGGCTATTATTATACTCCTAAAAATGTATAGTCTATTACACATCATGTATAAAGCAAGAAAACCACTTATGTACAGTAGGTAAAATTTGCTTATTCATTACCAGAACCTTAATATACTTTTAACTCTTGTAACTGATGTTTATTATAATCATTGTCAACAAATGTATATTTAAACTGCTTATGATTGGTAATTGGGTTCAATTATCAAATTAAGGATGGTGGTTATAACTTCCCTTCTTTCCTTTTGGGGCTCTCAGCTATTACAATTTGTTTTCAAATTTCATAACTTTTGTAATACCTTCGTTTGGGCACTTAACACATGAACATGTGTTATTTTTCCCCAAAAGAAAACTCACTAGAAACAGCTATACATGCATATGCAGGGCCATCGGCCTAGACACACGCAGTTATGCCATCGGCCTCTACTACAAGGCCATCGGCCTTCCAGACTTACAGGCCATCGGCCACTTAATTCACCAAGGCCATCGGCCACTCAAGTTCAAGGCCATCGGCCAGTCACTTACAGGCCATCAGCCAAGCTATTCACAAGGCCATCGGCCAGTCACATGAGTTTATTACAGGCCATCGGCCTCACATATGAAGGTCATCGGCCTTCCACAGACTACCAGGCCATTGGCCTAGAAAAAATTTACAAGGCCATTGGCCAGTCACATATCTTTACAGTTTACATATTGTAGGTGCAATTTCAACATAATTAGCCATTGGCCTTACATGTACATTTAAGTATTTTATCTTTGGTCAGTTTTGTTTAATGATTTTATTTGTATGCGTGTGTTTCTTGATGTTGCAATTGTTACATGATTGTCCAATAGCTGTCTAGTGGTTAGCGCGCCTGCCTTATAAACCAAAGGTTTTGAGTTCGATCCCTGCTGGGAGAACTTCTTTTTTTTTTTTTTTTTGCATTTTCAGCTTTTTTTTCAAATCAATTGACAAAAGAATCAAGAAAACGGAAGACCTGTTATTGCATAGGCAATGAGTATCTAGTTTTAATTCTCTTTATCTACACAGAGAGAGAGAGAGAGAATTCTTTTATGGCAAACAAAATACAGGAATGACAACATCCTCAACAATCCAAAACATTATTTTATCAAACACTAAAATGAAAAACATTGTATTTTTCACTCAACTTTTGACATAATTGACTTTCAATTTTTCTTCTAATATAAATTGCAATACCGTGTTGGGTTCTTCCATAAACCAGTACCTTAGACTCAATGTTAAAATATTCATTAAAACTTGGAAAAACATTTTTACAATATTGAGTACTACAATTTTGTCATTTTTGCATCATTAATAAAGGACAAGGTGCGTTTGATGTTGAATTTGGCCCTGTGTTCAAATTAAATAATATTACTCTCAATTCTTTCAGAGTGTGTATATTTTCAAGAAATTAATAAAGCGACAGTACAACTACAAATCATGTGCTTTCTCATTCAAATTTACCCAATATATCTTAAGAAATATTAAGGTATAAAGTTGATGTCAACAGTTTGAGAAAAATGAATATTCTCTCCTCATACAAAATAAACGTAATTAGAATCTGCCAGAAATTTAAAGGTTGTACAAACTGGAGCAATCTTAGAGATGTTTATTTGTACCATGTGAATTCTAAATGGCACATGCATACACTGTAAAGTTTACAATTATATTGGAATATGAGGTAAAAGCAATTCTAAAAAGAAAAATAAAACTTTTCCAATAAGTTATAAATTATGAACATTTTCATCTGCATTCAGACAAATTTTACAGTATTTATTTAGAAGTTCTTTTCTACTGACAGTTGTTTAATTCACTTAACAGATCACTTAAAATCTAAAACAGCTAAAGGGTTCTATACTGGAATGGTTCTTTTAGATCTTCAGAAAGCCTTTGACACAGTAGACCACAATTTTTTTTGTGAAAAACTCCAAGTCATTGGTGTAAAATAAGTTGGATGGTTTAATTCTTACTTTTACAGTAGAAAACAAATTGTAAATGTATTTCATGTGGGATATCTCAAGGCAGTATACTTGGGCCTCTTTTATTTTTATTGTATGTAAATGACTTCAGTGTCAGTATCAATTCTGAATGCAAAGTTCTTTTATGTGCAGATGATATGTTCAATTCTGTATGAACTTATTAGGGGGTCAGAGGTCATGGCATGACAGAATCACACGGTGAGATGATATCTTGTCTACATATTTCTGTCACAGTGAAACTGCTTTCTGAACTTCTAACTCGATAGCGATGAAAAAGATTAAATAACATGGATGTTTTTCATTCAACAGATGTTTATTAGATCTTTCTTTGGTGTGAAGAATGTTTTGAATAATATAATTAGCCTAAAATCGCGCTTACCTTTTTAACTAGAAATTCCTTTGAAGGTATGTAAACTGAAACCGACGATACCACCGCTTTTGACTTAATATATAAAGAACTCATACAATAATAGTAAGATTATTCTCAATAGCGATCATTGTTTTTTTTTTTTTTTTTAATTATGAACAGATATTACCTGAACTGGACTGCTGAACACCAATGTAAATATTCAAATGTTGGAGTGAGGCAAACTCTCAAGACCAAACAACTTCTAGGTCATTGCGCATCACAACATAACAATACGACGGGCCGTTTGTGTAATAAATGCAGTTCTATTCAGAACATTCATCTCAAATGTAAATATAATTAACAAACAACAATGTTAAAAAGTTCACTGGGAAATGAACTTGGTTGGTACGTGATCAAATCTACTGAGAAGCCCTTTGACCAACCAAGTTCATTTCCTAGTGAACTTTTTTAACATTGTTGTTTATTTCTTAAGTAAACAGTATCAAAATACATTTATGTACAAAATTTTAACATGTTTAAATTGAAAGTGATATTCTTTACCTGTATGCTGCAAGATCTTTTAGTAATACTTTGTCCAAGTTTTTGCTGTTTTCTTTCTCCAAAGCATTTGTTGGCAGATGCTGAAATACATTCAATTTGATAGTTTGTTTTTTTTACAATCTATATACAAATATGACATTTACTAACAAGAGGCCCAATTAGGGCCTTCACACTCACTTGAAAATATAACAACAATACAACCATGTAAATGATCGATAAGACAATAACATACTAGAAACTAGTTATAATTGTAACAGGAACCGTTACAGATGTTCCCCAAACGCTCCCCAACTCCCTTTTGGTGTCTTATTTCCTGTAAGCTTCATTAAATAAAGCAATCAGATATATTGGTCGTTTTACACATTACACGCGCGCGCACGCGCATGCATGTGCAGGATGACATGTCATCTTGTCTACACTATTAATATATTTTATAAAACTGAGTATCAAAGAATTTCATCAAAAAGTATAAAAGTAACAGCTATATTAAGTATATTGGTCATTTTATGCTTTGCACCAGGGATCGAAATTAACTTTTTTGACCACTAGCAAATTTTAGCTAGTGGAATTTTTTCTTACTAGCAATATTGAACTTTCACTAGCATTTTTTTTCCTCACACAGTAATTATTAAATTAACTTAAGAATTACTTGAATAATTTCATAGAAAACTTATTTACATCTTGTGAGTTAATTTAGGTCGTTTTATACAAGATGAAATCTGAACGGATACAGGGGGTGTGCAATTAAAAAAATTCAAGCACTAGCCCACAGACTAGTGCAAGTACTGGCAGCAATAAAATTACTAGCCCCAAGTAAATAGTTACTAGCTCAAACGTGGGGGGGGGGGGGGGGGGGGGGAGTAGCAACAAACAATGAAAGAAAATAAAACGGTAGTTTATCGTTGAAAAACTCAGGGTCGTAAGGTAATTCTTTTTAAAATTCAAGTTGAATTCCCTCTAGAAAAATTGAATCGTATATAAATCAATAATTATGATTGAAAAAGAAAATGAATTTAAAAATAAATTATCTTCCTTTTTTCTGGTTGTTGCACGTCTATCTCATTTAAATTGAAGCGGAATTATTAAATACACTGCAAATATATTTTTTGAAAATCACTTAACACTTTTTCTCTAGTTGATTAAGTGATCGTAAATATCTACATGTATTTACCATAAACAAGGAAATGGAGGAAATTCGGATTAGGGAAAAAAACGATCGTTTTAAGAAGTAAATAAGTCAGATAGTACTGCAAAATGGATGAGATTATGGAGATTTACGAATTATAGGAGAATGTTTCCTGGATATTTTTCATTGCTTGGGAATGTAATAGCAAACAAGAGGCCCATGGGCCACATCGCTCACCTGAGCACATTGGCAAGGCAAAAGCACAAATCAGTTCAGTACTGAAAAGATTACGGGGGGTGGGGTGGGGGGGGACTTGAATTTTTAACTACCTGATGATGCTTCCATGTCAATATAACAAATGGCTTTGTTGTACTTGAGAAGATTTTTAAAAAATTTCCCATATATTCCTTTGTAAAAATTTGATCCCCCATTGTGGCTCCTCCCTATCCCAGGGGTCATCATTTGAACAAACTTGAATCTAAACTACCTGAGGATGCTTCCATATCAGTATGACTAAACATAGCTTTTCTGTTCTTGAGAAGAAATTTTTTTCTATGTTCTTATGTAAAACTTTCGATCCCTCTATTGGGCCCCACCCTACCCTCGGGGGTCATCATTTCAACAAAATTGAATTTACACTACCTGAGGATGCTTCCATATCAAAATGACTAAACATGATTTTCAGTTCTTGAGAAGAAGATATTTTCCTATATGTTCCTATGTAAAATTTTCGATCCCCCATTATGGCCCATCTCTATCCCCTGGGGTCATCATTTTAACAAACTTGAATCTACACTACCTGAGGATGCTTCCATATCAAAATGACTAATCATGGCTTTGCAGTTCTTCATTAGAAGATATCTTCCTATATATTTCTATTTCAGACTTTTATCCTCCATTGTGGCCCCGCCCTACCCCCGGGGGGTCAGGATTTGAACAAACTTGAATCTACACTATCTGAGGATACTTCCACATAAATATGATCAATTAGGGCTTCACTTTTCCTGAGAAGAAGATTTTTAAAGATTTTTCCTATATATTTCTATGTAAAACTTTGATCCTCCATTGTGGCCCCGCCCTACCCCCAGGGGTCATGATTTGGACAAACTTGAATCTACACTACCTGAGGATGCTTCCATATAAATATGACCAATTAGGGCTTTGCTGTTATTGAGAAGAAGATCTTTTCTATATATTTCTATGTAAAACTTTGATCCTCCATTGTGGTCCCGCCCTAACCCCGGGGTCATAATTTGAACAAACTTGAATCTACACTACCTGAGGATGCTTCCATATAAATATGACCAATTAGGGCTTTGCTGTTATTGAGAAGAAGATTTTTAAAGATTTTTTCTATATATTTCTATGTAAAACTTTGATCCTCCATTGTGGCCCCGCCCTACCCCCGGGGGTCATAATTTGAACAAACTTGAATCTACACTACCTGAGGATGTTGCCATATAAATATGACCAATTAGGGCTTTGCTGTTATTGAGAAGAAGATTTTTAAAGATTTTTCCTATATATTTCTATGTAAAACTTTGATCCTCCATTGTGGCCCTGCACTACCCCCAGGGGTCATGATCTGGACAAACTTGAATCTACACTACCTGAGGATGCTTCCATATAAATATGACCAATTAGGGCTTTGCTGTTATTGAGAAGAAGATTTTTAAAGATTTTTTCTATATATTTCTATGTAAAACTTTGATCCTCCATTGTGGCCCCGCCCTACCCCCGGGGGTCATAATTTGAACAAACTTGAATCTACACTACCTGAGGATGTTTCCATATAAATATTATCCAATTAGGGCTTTGCTGTTATTGAGAAGAAGATTTTTAAAGATTTTCCTATATATTTCTATGTAAAACTTTGATCCTCCATTGTGGCCCCGCCCTACCCCCGGGGGTCATGATTTGTACAAACTTGAATCTACACTACCTGAGGATGCTTCCATATAAATATGACTCATCATGGCTTTGCTGTTCTTGAGAAGATTTTTAAAGGTTTTTCCTATATATTTCTATGTAAAACTTTGATCCTCCACTGTGGCCCCGCCCTACCCCTGGGGGTCATGATTTGAACAAACTTGAACCTATACTACCTGAGGATGCTTCCACATGAGTTTCATCTTCCCTGGCTTTGTGGTTCTTGAGAAGAAGATTTTTAAAAGATGCCATTAATTTTTCACTTATTCTTTATTATCTCCCCTTGAAAGAGGGTGTGGCCCTTCATTTGAACAAACTTGAATCCCCTTCACCCAAGGATACTTTGTGGCAAGTTTGGTTGAAATTGGCCCAGTGGTTCTTGAGAAGAAGTCGAAAATGTGAAAAGTTTACAGACGGACGGACGGACAGACAGACAGACGGACAGACGGACTACAGACAAAATGTGATCAGAAAAGCTCACTTGAGCCTTCGGCTCAGGTGATCTAAAAAGTGAATAAAAATACCTGTAGTGCTTTTCATGTATTACATGGGTAATTTTAATTTCTACTAGCTCGAGGGGCTACCTCTGAGCATAAAATCACTAGCCCGACCCCAAAAATGGTAGCCCCGGGCATGAGATAATGCTAATTGCACATCCTGGAATAAACTGGGAAAAAAAAATCCAAAAAAGTTCGGTTTTTTTACTCGCAAAAGTTGGCGACCACAGGTCGCTTTTAACTCACAATTTCTGTTTTTAATTCGCATTTAGCGAGTATTTCCCGTTATTTTCGACCCCTGTTGCATGCGCGTGCAGGTGCATACATGTGCATGTTGACCATATCATCTTGTCTACACTTTTTTTATATTTCTATTTTGTGAGTTTCAAAGCATTTCATCAAAAATTTAAAATTTACGGCTATATCAAGGATATTGGTCATTTAACGCAATGCGCACGTGCATGCATGTTCTTGCATTCAATTTTGATAGTAGCATAATGTAGGAATCTATTATACCTATCTATATTTTAAATTTCATCCTGTTTTGTTGAGAACCAAGAAAGTTATAACCATTTAAAGTTTAAGCTAATCAGATTGCAGCACACGTGCATGCGCGTGTTTTCATGATAATTCTTATTTATCTGTTATTTACAGGTCTACCTGATCATTAAAACTAAGAAAGTACTTTTTGTATTATACAATAAAAATTCTAGCATAATTCTATTATTCTATTAACCTTTCAAATACATTATTTACAGTGATTAATTATCAAAGGTGAATGGAAAAGGGGAATGACTTCTCTCAGTAGAATAAAAATTAATAGAGCCCTGTCCAGGACCTGATTGCTTGACCAAATGGTCCAGATGTTCAAAAATCTGGTAAAAATACCCTTGCTTATCAAAACTTTTACTCAGTTTGCCAGAAGCAGAGAAGAATTTCACATGTATAATGCTTTTTTTTAACTACACATTCAACACATCCATACCCTAACACCAGAACCTATGACCCAGGGTCAAGAAATTTACAAATTTGGAAGAGTTACCCTCAGCATCATAACTATGCACTTCAAAGAATTAAACATTTCCACTATATTGTCAATAGCCCCCCCCCCCCCCCCCATCCCTGGTAATGCCAGAACCCCTGACCCTGGGATAGGACCACAATTTTTAAAATTTCTGTTAGAAGTACCCTTTCATCTTCACTATGCAATTTGTTTATCTGCTCAACACTAAGGAGCAGACAGGATTAATTAATAGAATTAATGCATTTTCATTATATTATCAATAGAGCCCCATCCTTACACCAGAACATCTGACACAGGGGCCTTGAAACTCAAAATTCTGAATGAATTTTACTCTTGCTCATCATAACTATACACTTAGTTTCTTTGCTTTATAACCAGAAGAGAAAATAACATTTTCAAAGATATTATGCTTTTTCACTATATCATCAATAGAGCCCCCCCCCCCCTTCCACCAGAATCCCTGACCCTGGGGCAATATATTTCACAATTTTGGAAGAGGCATCT